TGATTGCCTCCCTTTGCTGGCTCCGCATTCTCACAGTAGCCAATCAGCTAAGCCGCCGTTTCATCCGAACTTGCCAGTGTCAACAAAGATAGTGGTCGCAGTCGCAAAGGTTTGTTCGCATTGCCACTTAGATTTTTTAGGAAATAATACAGACAAATTGACAGATCTGAAACTTTCAAAAAACATATAAAAGAACTCCTTCACCAGTCGGGATTGTTCTTCAAGAGTCCGGTTTGTTGTTCTTCAAGAGTCAGTTTGTTGTTCTTCAAGAGTCCGGTTTGTTGTTCTTCAAGAATCCGGTTTGTTGTTCTTCAAGAGTCCGGTTTGTTGTTCTTCAAGAGTCCGGTTTGTTGTTCTTTAAGAGTCCGGTTTGTTGTTCTTCAAGAGTCCGGTTTGTTGTTCTTCAAGAATCCGGTTTGTTGTTCTTTAAGTCAGTCCTTCAAGGTTTGTTGTTCTTCAAAGAGTCCGGTTTGTTGTTCTTCAAGGGTCCGGTTTGTTGTTCTTCAAGAGTCCGGTTTGTTGTTCTTCAAGGTCCGGTTTGTTGTTCTTCAAGAGTCCGGTTTGTTGTTCTTCAAGGGCCCGATTTGTTGTTCTTCAAGAAACCGGTTTGTTGTTCTTCAAGAGTCCGGTTTGTTGTTCTTCAAGGGTCCGGTTTGTTGTTCTTCAAGAGTCCGGTTTGTTGTTCTTCAAGAGTCCGGTTTGTTGTTCTTTAAGAGTCCGGTTTGTTGTTCTTCAAGAGTCCGGTTTGTTGTTCTTCAAGAGTCCGGTTTGTTGTTCTTCAAGGGTCCGGTTTGTTGTTCTTCAAGAGTCCGGTTTGTTGTTCTTCAAGGTCCGGTTTGTTGTTCTTCAAGAGTCAGGTTTGTTGTTCTTCAAGGGCCCGATTTGTTGTTCTTCAAGAATCCGGTTTGTTGTTCTTCAAGAGTCCGGTTTGTTGTTCTTCAAGGGTCCGGTTTGTTGTTCTTCAAGTGTCCGGTTTGTTGTTCTTCAAGGGTCCGGTTTGTTGTTCTTCAAGAGTCCGGTTTGTTGTTCTTCAAGAGTCCGGTTTGTTGTTCTTCAAGAGTCCGGTTTGTTGTTCTTCAAGAGTCCGGTTTGTTGTTCTTCAAGGGTCCGGTTTGTTGTTCTTCAAGGGTCCGGTTTGTTGTTCTTCAAGAGTCCGATTTGTTGTTCTTCAAGAGTCCGGTTTGTTATCAGCAATTAGTGGATGATACCTATATCTTTTTGCGTGAAACCTAATGCGTTCACCCCGTGTTGTCTGTGTTTATAGTGAACTGAATGTGAAATATCGTTTTAATGGTAATGCTGTCATCAGTAATTGGGTGAGTGAGTTTAGTTTGATCCTGCTTTAGCAATATTCCAGTTATATCACGGTGGGGGACACCAGAAATAGCCTTCACACAGTGCACCCCTGTGGGGAATCGAACCCGGGTCTTCGTCATGACGACCAAACACTTTAACCACTGCGCTACCCCACCAACATTGACATCGAGGAAGGAGTGTTCATGGAGTTACATACGTAAAAAACTGGTTACAAGTCTGCAGTTAGACTAGCATCCCGTCTCTGAAATGAACATACGTTACAGAAAACAGAAATTATGTTAATAAAATATAATAAAAAGGATCCTAAAGACTTTCTCAATTTGTAACTGGTAATCTAGACTTGAACCCCACCCAAGGCTTGCATGGGCTGCATTAAGTATATTTGTTTCAGGGTCTGTGTGACAGGCTAAAGCGGCCTTCACACGGCAAACTAAAGTTTGACAACACATGTTGTTGAAATTTTAAAAGTTATCAAACTCGCGTTTTCACACGTTAAACACATGTTGTTAAACTTTTGTCTTTATCGGTGCGCTCATATGACAATTTCGTTGACTACGATTGGTTGTTTCTGACCAACACGAGTTTGACAACACTTCACTCGTCAAACTCGAGTTTGACAACACCGAAAGTTTGAAGGAAAAGTTGGTGAGAACAGAGACCGATCCTACATATTTCTCGACAACAATTCGACAATTGGTGTTGGTGGCGAGATGTTGGAATGTTCACACTCCCAAACTCGAGTCTGACAACATGTGCGAAGGCCGCTTAAGTCTGCGGTCAGTTTACCGATGTCACGAGTGTGTATTGTTTCTAACGTCATAGTGGAAATGACGTCACAATGCTCGTACCTCTGGAGTGTCATAACTTTCTCATATATTTGAACAGGTGCCATTTAGCGATTCAAAATGCTGATTGTTTAGTTGAATTCACATATAGAGATTATTACACGAGCAAGTGTGTCATACGACTTACACGAAACCAGTGTGAATTTTGCATTGCCCGAGCGAGAGCGAGGACAATACATTATTTTGCACGAGTTTCGTACAAGTCATTTGCATTTTGTTCATGTACATTTGTGCTGTAAAACACGGTTAGCAAGTGTGACAGCCCTCTTCAATGACGTCACGTTCAATTGTTTAATGACGTCACAGACGACGAAATACACAAACAATGGTTGCCAGGCAAAAGTGATATGTGCACATATATTTTTTTTTATAGTTGTCATCGCCTCGTACAGCCTCCTACAGTAAACTACTCCGTAGCACCTCGTTTCTTGGTTTCCAGTTGCTTCATTCGGCTAACATCACTGGTGGAAACATTGCGTTTATGTTTTTCGACGGATATAATGTCTCAGTTCGACTCACAATTAAACAGCGACACGACAACGTCCGCAATGTTTACATTCCCACAATGCATTTAAGTTGTAGAATGAATGAATTCACGTGTTTGATATGAATGAAAAAATAGTTACGTCAGAATATGACCTAATTGAGAAGTCATCGGTTATCCAATCACATCGTTAGAATCTCAGGTCAAGTCGTTACGACACAGGTCAACGCGATACGACACTCGTGTGACGTACGAGATTAGTATGCAACTACCCATACGTTGACCTCGTGGGTAATAAGTGCACATATGCTACCTCATACTTTTTCTATATTAAGAAAAATACTATATGACGTCACCATTGTCCATGACCCAAATTACGTCATCTGAACAAGTCTCCTCTCTCTGTTGCGTTTTGCGTGTAGTGACTTTTTTAGACATCTAAAGCAATCATGACTTGATTACATCGTGCGGCTGTAGGTGAATTCGTAGACCAGGCTGGTTCGTTGACGTGGAAATCCGGTGGATTCGTAGACGTTATTAAAATGGGAAAAGTTCAACCTCAATGATGATGAAAATCGACGAAAAGTGTTTGCATTTTTTGAAATAAATAAAATATATCAGGTAAGTATGATCGGCGGTGAAAATATGCTTAAAATAATAAAATAATAAAATATGCTTCACAGCGGTCCACGTCCGACAAATTCCGACAAATCATAGGCCGCTAATATATTAAATTCAGTTGTGTAAAATTAAAAGATATGTATTAGGTAAGTATCGTCATTCAACGTTCAACTACGCAGACCAGCAGAGAAGTAGCTGAAAACACCTCTTAAGAAAACACTTACATCTCCCACACAGAGTATTTCGCAATCAAAACAACTCACCACTTCCTAATTAACATTCACAACAACTCAGTGAAACCTGTTAATTCACATTCACAACAACTCAGTGAAACCTGTTAATTCACATTCACAACAACTCAGTGAAACCTGTTAATCCTCCCACAATGAAAACAGTTGGGAAATTATGATGAGTAGACTAATTTTGTCTGATCCGCCGACAAAGTTTACCTGTACAAACACTTATGGTATAAGTATTTCCTTAGTTTCGTATCACTGAAAACAAAGCATAACAACTTCGTTATACACATTCTAAGTAAAAATCACACTTAATATATACTATTATTCAATTATTAATACACGTCTACGAAATCACCGTCTACGAACCAGTCTGGGTTACGTGCGAACTGGTTCAGTCTACGAAATCACCGTATCCCCATCGTGCACCCACCACTTTTACTTTCTCTTTAAAATCGGATCTTAGTTCTTGCTGCCTCGAGAAAAAAAACCGTCTGGTTTCTATTAGCTGTATCATTAATTTATCAATGTACCATTTTCAGTGTTATTTTGGTGTTTGAATGGTGATAAATTCAACAGAAAATTTTGCAACTTTATAAAAAGAAGAACTACATCTTATGTCCAAGATATTTTTATGGATTAAACTTCTTTTTTAATTTCTCTCACGACGTTTCGAGACCATTCCAGGTCCCTTCATCAGGTGAGTGGGTAATATGAATGAAAAAATTTCATATAGGTGGTGTCTGGTCACTTCATGAGAGAAATTAAAAAAGAAGTTTAATCCATAAAAATATCTTGGACATCAATGTACAACTTCTAAATGCCACTGAAAGACAACTACATCTTAGTATCTTACAAAGAACACAAACCATTGCGCCAAATTGTATCCCTCGCCCCAAGGACGTTTCTACATCTACATCTACGTCTACATACTAATATCTGAATAAGTAAAGAAAAGTAAACAACCTGTGAACATTTTGACAGAATGCGCACGAGGAAGGTTATGTATCACACCTCTCAGCAACGTGTTTAAAAATCCCGGCTTAATTTGATGGCTCCGTTAAGTAAGTACTACTAGTGGGACTACATATCATATAAAATTACGCACCGTCGTTATTCAATGCAACATGCTACGACAATATTGGATAGATTTATTAATTCGACCAGCTGCTTATCAAGAAACGTATCTTAATATGTATTGTTCTGACCACTAGCATTACAAAGGTGCTACATTCCAACAACACTTTATGTTTTCAAGTTTAATAATGTATTGTAAATGCAAAGGGAAAGACGTCTTTAAAATATTTAGTTGTAAAGACGTTTGATATAATCATCCAGAGTCTCATCTTTGTTTTACATCTAGTATTAATTAATTTTCCCCAAATTATATCACCAATATTTGTACCGTTATTTGCTTCGACAGACGCGCACAGAAATATAGAAAACAGAATTAGTTGCACTGCTAGTACTACACCCAACTAAGGGGAGTTCATCGTGGATATCAGCTGTGCACATTGCAATAATGACAGATACGTGTTGTTGTGATTGAACAAGAATGGAGTTATTTCAAACTGAAAATCATTACATAATCCACAATGGAGACCACAGTTTGTGGTGTGACAGGTCTTCAGGGAGCCTGGAGGCGAAGTCAAGTGAGTATTGATGAATTCTTGATGGCTGTATATTGCGGAAGTGGAACAAATTCGTCTGCTGTTGTAGTCATGAATGTAAACAACGAAGCAATTTTTAAACTTGTTGACAGGGTGAATGTAAAGGTTATTTTAAACAGCAATGTACATTAACAATACGTTTGAACCCAATGTCATTGTGTGGTTGGTTTGGGGTTCCAAACCGGTAGTAGTGAAGTAGATTTATGTATTGTAACAAAGATTACGATTTCCAAATTCAGTGCACACAGTATTTCATGGACACAGGTTGTGTTAGGCACAATATTTTTACAACATGATTATTGTCTATTCACAATTAGCTGTTGTTACTTGAAATGGCCACGATCATGGTGTACCAAGATGTGTCAATATTATCAACATTCCATGATGTTCAGTAAGAATTAAAATGTGGTTTATATGCCAGTTATTCGTCTTTGTGCACATACGGGCTTGGCCAGGCATAAAAGTATATTTTATAGGCGCAGCTTCTTCAGCTGATCAACACCAAATAATATGTTCAGCAAGTTTTTATGCTCCAGTGTGGTGTGGGAAGACATTTTAGATGATGACTGACCAACTGAATATTGTTCATGTTCAATTTCATGTTACAGTGAGCAATATATGCAGTTATATCACACCAACATGGGCATTAACTGGGAGAGGCAAACTGGTGGTTGATAGCATGAGCAAATACCCATCAGTGTTATTACACATGGTCAACAAAGTAACACATTTTAGCAACCTGATCTTCATTTTATTTCGCTCTGACAACAAGTGCAAGTGTACTGAGTTTAGTATCCTTCCTTGTAACAGGGGCGTAGGAACAGTTTTCAGAGTGGGGGGCTAATTTATGAAAAGTATTGAAAATCAAAATGAAATTGTAGTTATGGTAAGGTAGATATGGTTTCATCTTGAAAAAATGGGGCTAAACATCCACCCATGTTACCTACCCTGTGTAATATACCCTGCAGTTCAATATACACATACCCTGATGAAACCACAATTCAATTGAAGAGGCTATGTGTATTGAAGAGGATTTATTAAGATATGCTATTTGCAGTTTGTCACTGGGTTGATTCTGTACATTGTTCATCTTACCCTACTGAGACTGAAGGTGTTGTTCTCAACATGTTGGTTCTACCATTGTGTATCTTTACTTTTTTTAGGGTGACTATTGAGGGAGAAACAACTATTGCGATAGCAATAGTCTATTGCAACAAATAAATGTATGGTTTATATGAAATGAAAACAAGCTGAAGTCGTTTCAGTCTGTTTTAATAACAGACAAGAAACTTCAAACCCAGATCAAGTTTGTTTAAGAGGTAACAGGGGTGGATAACTCTAAATCAAAGTGAACGAATCTGGTACTTCCTGTATTTTGCGCAGCGCATTTGTCAACGGAAGTCAATTACTATACTATCGCTAGTAACACATGCGATCACTGCATCGATAGTTTTTCGTTTCTACCATCGATTAATTGCTATCGGAGACTCAACAATTGCAATCCATCGATAGTTTGATGCATCATTACAGCCCTATTTACTTTAGATGCTAAAATTATCACAAATTATGCTGCTAAAGTTACCAAATTCTGCAGTAAAAGCAAGAAAATCTAAATAGAAAACAATGTAAAGATAGTTTATTCGGTGTGTTTTGAAATACTGGCATATAGAATATAGCTGCCTGTGGTATTAAACATTCACTCACACGACCCAGTACAAATAAAGCCAACTATATGTAAACCCTGTTACAGTCTCTTATAGTTTTGGTTTTTAACTCTAACTGATAAAAGATATTGTGCCGTAAATAACTCATTGAAAACATGATCAGAAGTATTTCTGATGGAAATTGCATAAAATATACATCCCTTCAACAGATGGAATCCTGTAATTGAGTAATTCAGACCAGCAACATCTGGACCCTGTCAGCTGCATCTTTGAGAAATACATACAATGAAGTTACGTGTTAAATAAGACACACAAAAGATAAATAACAACGAACTATTATGTTGGAATAAAATGAATGAGCACTACCTCGGGTGCAGAATTCAAACACCATTATGGTGTTTCAGAAATACACACTCCACATTATAATTTTTTTTAAAAATATATGTCTCTCTGTGGGAATTTGATTTGATCTGGTGTGATATCCATTGAGATAATTGCACTGATGCAGGCTGGTATCGGCTTGACAAAGTTTAACAGCAGACTACACTGAGTGCATCCTCGATAACCTCCACGGTATACGTTGCGATGCATCCCACGGCTACCCTGGCCCGATCCGCGGCTTGGCCCGATATTACCTCCCTTTGCTTGCTCCGCATTCTCACAGTAGCCAATCAGCTAAGCCGCCGTTACATCCAAGCTTGCCAGTGTCAGCAAAGATGGCGGTTGCAGTCACGAAGGTTTGTTCGCAGTGCCACTCAGATTTTTTGGCAAATGATACAGACATTTTTTGACAGATCTGAAACTTTGAAAAATTATATAAAAGAACTCCTTCTACACCTTTCAGAGTACCTCTGCATCAATTGTGTTGCCAAGTTTAAACGTTTAGATAATTTAAGAAGCGAAAGTGAGTTGTGATTGGTTCGCTCAACTTCCCAGCGGAGACACCTGATTGGATAAAAAGCCAGCCAAGGGAGGTAACAAAATCATTGGGCCAAACCTTGGATGCATCCAGGGTATAGTGGAGAGTGATCGTAATGTATACCCTGGAGATTATCGAGGATGCACTGAGTGCAGATGGTAAACTATTTCACATATAGGCAAAAAAATGAAACTTGCTCTAAAATTATGGCTTAAAGAACTATATTTACTTACTTTTCACAAGAAGTTTACGACCTGTTTATCAGCTCTGTACAGGGTTCTACCTTGCCCCACAAACTAGGAGTCCAGAGGACCCCAGTGACTGATTTCAAGGGCCCTTACAGAAGATTTGAGGGTCCTTTAAAGTATTGAAAAAGTGTAGTGTTCTCTACCTTAAGGTGTAATAAATATGTTTGGAACAGGATCTATTTCTTGTTGAGAAGTTGGTACAATGTATATTATTGTGTGTCCCAAATGGGCCACAATGTAAATATTTTCTGTATCAATTAAATGTCTGTGTGTACTTAATGCACATTTTTTTGTTTAGTCAGTTTATCTGTTGTGTGGGCAGCTTTTCTTTTGTAAATTAAGATTATCTGTTGTGCAGCCAGATGATCAGTTTTACAGAGAGTATATTAGTTCTGCAATCAGTATATCTTTGTGCAATCACATAAGATATCTGTTGTGCAGCCTGTTATTACTGTAGCCAGCACAAGTTGCTGTGGAAAGACATTCATCCCTGTGTGGTTGTTGTGCTGATAGTGGAGGATGTTGGTCAGACCGATGACTGATTGGGTGTTTGATGGCTTGCCATGATGCTCATGACATTAACCACTGGTTTGTCATGTTATATACAGGCTGCCATAATAAGGCTTTTGGTGACTGCAGTTTAATTCAAGATCCACCAGATATTTTCTTCATTCATTTGACTACATGCAGATATTATTTATATGTTCAGAATAACAAACATAAATATTGTATCAGGTTTGGTTTGATGTAGCATTAAGACTGCGGCTTTTGAAGAAAATAGGAAGCAACTGTACTTATAAAGTGAAATACTTCATGTTACCATGGTTACTATTAGCAAACGGATCAATGATGACAGCCATTGTGGTATCTCAGGAAACAAAGATTGGCACAGTGCATTCACAATGTATCAGTTGCATTCATCTGATGAAGGAGGAAGATTTATACTCCCAAACTTCATGTTCCTTACTTTAAGGAAGTTGACATCCATAACTTCTCGCCTTTCAAGTGTATCACTTCTAAATGCTGTTCAAAGACTTCATTTGTCAACTGTTATGAAACTTGTCAGGAAGCCTGAATAAGTTTGTCAGTTTGTTAAAGGTGTCCCAAGGGCAAGTTGGATTTCAGGTGTTTAAGTGGTTGTTTATATTGTTGTTGTGTTGTCATGATTCAGGCATGTTTCAGGGTGCGTTGCTTCCCATACTCTACAACCACTCACCTGGCCACAGTGATGATTACAGATATTTATGATTATTGTAAATGTGACTAATCAATATTTAAACTGTTGTGATCAGTGAAGACAATTAATATTTAAATTACCTGACCAGTGATGATGATCAATGTTTATACTACCTGACCAGTGATAACTGTCAATATTTATACTACCTGACCAGTGATGACTATCAATATTTATACTACCTGACCAGTGATAACTGTCAATATTTATACTACCTGACCAGTGATGACTATCAATATTTATACTACCTGACCAGTGATGACTATCAATATTTATACTACCTGACCAGTGATAACTGTCAATATTTATACTACCTGACCAGTGATAACTGTCAATATTGATACTACCTGACCAGTGATGACTATCAATATTTATACTACCTGACCAGTGATGACTATCAATGTTTATACCAGTGATGACTATCAATATTTATACTACCTGACCAGTGATGACCAGTGATACTACCTGACCAATATTTTATACTACCTGACCAGTGATAACTGTCAATATTTATACTACCTGACCAGTGATAACTATCAATATTTATACTAATATTTATACCTGACCAGTGATGACTATCAATATTTATACCACCTGACCACTTGACCAGTGATGACTATCAATATTGATACTACCTGACCAGTGATGACTATCAATATTTATACTACCTGACCAGTGATGACTATCAATGTTTATACTACCTGACCAGTGATAACTGTCAATATTTATACTACCTGACCAGTGATGGCTATCAATATTTATACTACCTGACCACAGTGATGACTATCAATATTTATACTACCTGACCAGTGATAACTATCAATATTTATACTACCTGACCAGTGATAACTGTCAATATTTATACTACCTGACCACAGTGATGACTAAATGTATTCAAACCCTCTGTTGATAGTGAC